CCTGTTGTAAGCAGCTATGTTGGAAAAGTCGCCAGAAACCATAAGCGCACTCCGTATAGTCGTTTACGAATATACGGTGTACGCAAGTCGTACGTATATTCGTTGGCGAAAGTTCGGGCTGACCCGAAAAAAAACCAGATTTCAATAGTCGCGCACGAATTGCGAATGTGCGACGCGACTCAAAATGTACGCACGTCCCACCCCAATTTGTACGCACGTCCCAACCACATTGTCACCCACACCTGTCAAAATGTGGGGACGTGGGAAAATTTGAACCGCACTGCACCCTATGCTATCGCGCGACTCCAACACACAAACACGAATGTCGTCAACCAGCGTAGGTGGTTCAACCACATCCTGGACTATAAGGTAAGCTCTCATTCCCGTCATCTGTATTATCTCTCTCCTCGTTCATTCTCTCTCAACACTCCCGCTCACCTGCATTTGATGTCGACTCCTTCTGGTACTCCCGCAAGTGCCACTAGTGAGGCTCCTAGTGTTTCGAATGACGCGACCATGGCGGACGACGAGGATGTTCCTGTGAACACCCATGTTATTTTAAGCATTTCCTTACCTCTACCGAAGGTACCTCGAATGTGCCTGAGCGTACTCTCCGCATATGCCGACACTGCAAGCTTAAGTTCGTAGGGGGCGCCTTCCGTTGCGCGCAACACATCACGCGCTGGAAAGGGCTGAAACGGAAGGACGTCCGTCTTTGCAAGGCGCCTATCCCTTCTGCTGACCGCGGCGCCGTCCGCGAATTGTACGAAGGCAAACACGCCCGCAAGGAAGGGAAGAAGAAGGCGGAGGAGATGGCGATCGAGGCGTGTGCGGGTGGAGCGAAGAAGCAGTGCATCGAAGACTTCTACGGGGAAGGGGCGTCGTGTGCGAAGGAATCGGCAGACGACGCCATCTGCCTCATGTGGGCGGCACTTCACCTCCCGGAGCATCTCGCCGATCACCCTCTCTGGCGCAACGCTGTGCGCTGCATCACGGACGCGGGCCATGGCTACGTTCCCCCGAAGCGGCGGTATGTTGGTGGCGCCGACCTTGCGCGCTGCCGCGAAAAGATCGAGAGGGGGCTCGCTCCCATCACTGCGAGCTGGAAGCGGGATGGCGTGACGATAGGCTCGGACATGATGACGGACAAAAGTGGCCGTCCCCAAGCCAACATCCTGCTCATCAACGATTCCGGTGCAGTGTTCACCGAAAACATCGACTGTAAGTTGGAGACGAAGACGGGAGGTTACATTGCATCCGTTTTGCGCCCGATCATTGAGAAGGTGGGGCCCGCCAACATAGTTGCGTTATGCATGGATGGGGACAGCAATTATGCGGCTGCATGTAGGGAACTCATGCTTGAGTATCCTCACATTGAGCATGTGCCGTGCGCTACTCACGTCATGGATCTGCTCATGGAGGACATTGGTGAAATGGATTGGGCGAAGGACATTGTGGCTAAGGCGGGGGTGATTATTACCTTTGTGCGTGCCCACCATTTCACCAAAGGTTACATGCGAAGCCCGCAGGTGAAGGGAGGGAAGGGGAAGCAGGTGCTGAAGCCGGCGGGCACCAGATTTGGCACGCAATTCATCGCGGTGCAGCGGCTTTGCGAGGTGCGGAGTGCATTGACGCAGATGGTGCTGAGCCCGGAGTGGCAGGCTTGGGCGAAGGGGAGGAAGCCGCCGGTCGAGCCCTTCGCAACCATGATCATGGATGCCGTGTGGTGGAAAGGTGCGGAGTTCTTCGTCGCCCTCCTGAAGATCCCCTTTGTCGTCATGCGCAAGACCGACTCGACGGCCAAGGGCATGATGGGCAGGATGTACGATCTGATGCTGCAGCTCACGGAAGACATCAATGCGAAGCTGGAGGAGGAGGAGGTGGGATTGGTGCTGTCCAGCAGTGAACGCACGGAGGTGACCAACATCGTCCAAAAGCGCTGGGACCATAGCATGGCGTGTGCCATGCACGTGGTTGGCCGGATCCTCAACCCGGTCAACCAAGAGGAAGGCATCTTCCGCACCGACCTGGAGTGTACTCGCGTCTTCAAAGCGTTTGTCGCTCGTCACTACGCAGGGCGGACCGTCACGCGCAAGGAGGGCGAGGAGCTGCGCGCATCCCACGTCATCCAGGACGGCCTGACGGCATTCAACACCCTTCAGGGGAGCTTCGGCCTACCCGACGCCATCTCTGACCGTGAGCTCGTGAAGGCCGGTAAGAAGACGGCCGTCCAGTGGTGGACGTGGCACGGGACGGAGCACCCCGAGCTGACAACGCTCGCTTGCCGCGTTCTCTCTCAGCCAGTGTCCGCATCGGCGTGTGAGAGGAACTGGGCAGTGTGGGAATCGATCCACACTGCCAAGCGCAACAGGTTGGGGTCCGAGAAATGTCAGGACCTCGTGTATGTTGCGCACAATTGGAACATTGTGCGCAACTGGCACAAGGGGGCTGAGGGGGTGACGGTTCTCCCGGGGAACATCCCTGAGGCCTCCCTGCCGGAAGGGTACAACGAGGTTCTGGAGGAGGATGAGGAGGAGGGGGAGGAGGATGAGCTGGAGGATGAGTACAAGTAGAGGAGTTGCATGTTGCTTGCTTAGAGTAGTTGAGAATGCATCTCTCCTACCCTACCCCGAGCCTGTTGCTAGGGGGTGGGGTAGGAGAGATGCATGTTGCTTGCTTAGAGTAGTTGAGAATGTAAGGTTTTTTCAATATATGAAATTCGGTAAAACCACCACTCCCCCCCCCCCTCCTTCGGCGGTTTTTTTCGTCTGCCCGCATCACAAAAATCCTGCGTCCAGAAAGCCGCTGAAAAGAGTTGCTTTGGAGCTTTGTCAAATGATTTGTAAACGTAGTATTTCGAACGCTTTTTTGAGAAAGTATAGGCCGCTTTCCAAATGCTTTGTCGAATGCTTTTCAGGTGCTTCTCCAATGCTTCTCTGTCTAAACCTACCACGCATTGCAGATGCTTTTCAGATGCAATTCAGATGCTTTTCCGCGAAGCGGTTTTCGAGTTTTGATCTCATTGCATTATACTCTCGATGGGCTTTGGGTCTCATTATATTAAACATATGAATTTTTTTCCTTAATTTATTACGTTACAATACATCAACACCATAATAATGATTGGCAAGCTTTAACAAAGATCTAGTCACCTTCACATGTTCATCGGAACCCTAATTTAAGCATGATTTCGCCCAAAAATGCATCGTTACAGCTGCGGAAACAGCAATGCCTGCTGCTCAATTAACGACTCATGCATCTGGCCTGAGGTACACACATCAAAAGCCGTGAGTAAAAACGACCAGCCACGTACAATCAAATGCTTACCGGGAGAAGAAATATCTGAAAAAAAATGTATTTAAATTAAAAGATCTTGTAGTGCACGCCTCCTAGAGACATTACGAACAGGATGAGAAGGTTAAAGTAGATATCAAGTTGGAGTAAAGCATGAATAGGATGTGACACCCTCAATAAGAACACACAGCCATTAGTGATAAGCAAGGGCAGATTGACGCGGCGACCTGCACACGGTCATGAAGAAAATCATCAAAACGAGGTGAGAAATATCCTCAATACACTAAGTAACTGGCCTTCTTAAGAAAAAAGGCAGGGTCACTGCGGTTCGCTGGTTGTTGCGCTGCAAATAGTTCCTAGCTATGGCGGCGGTGGAAACTAGGAGCTATGGTGGCGGTAAAAATTAGGAGCTATAGCGGCGGTAGAAACTAGGAGCTATGGCAGCGGTAGAAACTAGGAGCTATGGCGGCGGTAGAAGCTAGGAGAAGAAGTCTGCTAACAAAACTAAGGAAGTCACAGCTGCTTAGGAATAATAACATTACGGAAAGCCAGCTCCACTCTTGTGCTGGCGTGAGGGGTGGAGCGCTGAGTAGTTGTGGGAGCTAGGGGACTCTTGGGCCGATAAGGTGGTTGTCGAGGTGGATTGATTGGCCGGCTCGGATTGGTTGGGTGATGTGATATTCTGAGCTGGATTGAAACAGGCAGCCCGGATTGGTTGGATCGAATTCTGGGCTGGTTGGGGTTGGTTGGGAAAGTGTGATTGGGGTTTGGCAAATGCATGTCAAAACTGTAGAGAACTGTTGTTACAACAAAGCAGTCGCTGTAGTCCAGTCAGTTTCGAAACTCGGGTTTCGTTCGAAAGACCTGGTTTCAAATCCTAGTAGCGGAGAATTTCTGAAACTAGGCTTGTGGCCTCCTTTTGAACCAATTTTTTACCTTACTGCGGCTCCAAATTGAGGCAGCATAATTATCCACCCTTATTTAACAAATCTGAAATTTTGGTAGCATAATTCAGTATTTTCCTTTAAACAATTGTATGGCGACAACCTTTCACATTTTCACATGGTATTATTTTCAGCCTTATGTATGTCTGAACAAACAACATCTGACGTCAACCATAGAAACATTGGTAAACCATTATCAAAACATCGGCAAAGCATTTGGGTCGGCCAAAATGATATACAAATCATATGTTGATGATTCCAGAATGTTTGTCAAACGTTTTCCGAATCCTTGATATGGTCGAATGATTTCCAGACATACACATTTTTGTGATGCGGTAAAAACCTTTTGCTGCCCGGGCAGCGTACTTTCTGCGACTTTCAAAGTCACTCACGAAGCGCATAACGCACTATACGCAAGCGTATATACGCTTGCGTATAATGCGCTGGGCGCGACTTTTCCAACATAGGTAAGCAGTGCAGCACCACATACACTCACCACACTCACCACTCTTATTACATCCACTACCCACCTGGATGAAGGAAACGGAGAGGTAGATGTAAGCTGAGTTGGAGAACCAGAGGCTGAGCGAGTAGAGCGCGCCGATGGGCAGCATTGAGGTCAAGTGAGGTGAGGTGAGGTGAGGTGTGGTGAGGTGAGGTGAGGTGTGGTGAGGTGAGGTATGGTGTGGTGTGGTGAGGTATGGTGTGGTGTGGTGAGGTATGGTGTGGTGTGGTGCGATGTGGCCAGCCAGCATACACCCACTACCCACTACCCACCTGGATGAAGGAGACGGAGAGGTAGATGTAGGCGGAGTTGGAAAACCAGAGACTGAGCGAGTCGAGCGCGCCGATGGGCAACACAGATGTGAGATGAGGTGTGTTGAGGTGTGGTGTGGTGTGGTGTGGTGTGGTGCGGTGTGGCCAGCATACACCCACTACCCACCTGAATAAACGAGACAGAAAGGTAGATGTAGGCCGAGTTGGAGAACCAGAGGCTGAGCGAGTAGAGCGCGCCGATGGGCAACACAGATGTGAGGTACATCTCTGTAGAGAGGGCGACGGGTTCGACCACTCGGAAGACCTTGACGAGGAGGAAGGCGAGAGCCGAGCAGAAGGCCATGTGGATCATGGTGAGACTGGTGGGTGGGGGGAAAGGGGGGGAGAGGAGAAAGGGCATGAAGAGCAGGGAGGTGAGGGTACATCTCTGTGGAGAGGGATATGGGTTTGATTGACCACTCGGAAGACCTTCACCAGAAGGAAGGCGAGCAGCGAGCAGAAGGCCATGTGGATCATTGTGAGACTGCTGGGGGGAAGGGGGGGAGGGGAGGAGTGGGGGGATGTGAGAGAGGGAATGGGCAGCACGGATGTGAGTGAGGCCATGTGGACATGGCGAGACTGGTGGGTGGGAAGGGTGCGGAAAGGGAAGGGAAGGAGGGCAGCGTGGGGAAGCGGGAGCAGCAAGGGGAAGTGGGAACAATCGGGGGAAGCAGGAGCAGCATTGGGGAGCGGGAGGAGCAGGGGGAAGAGGGAGGAGCAGGAGGAGGCGGGAACAGCAGGGGGAAAGCAGGAGCAGCAGGGGGGAAGAGGGAACAGCAGGGGGAAAGCGGGAGGAGCAGGGGGGAGCGGGAATAGCAGGGGGAAAGTGGGAGCAGCCGGGGGAAAGCGGGAGCAGCAGGGGGAAAGCGGGAATAGCAGGAGGAAAGCGGGAGGAGCAGGGGGAAGCGGGAATAGCAGGGGGAAAGCGAGAGCAGAAGGGGGAAAGTGGGAACAGCAAGAGGGCAGTCGAAAAAGCAGGCGGGGGCGGGACTAGGGGAAACGGGATGAGCAGTGGGGAAGAAGACAGAAGAAATTTGAAACAAAACAGTTGCACGGAGAACGGGGAGGTGGGTAGGGGGGGTTGAAGCATCTGGATTGGAAAGAAGGAGGTCCTGTGTGAAGCTTCCGCGGTAAAGGTGAGGGGGAAAGGGAAGGAAATGAGGCGGACGGAGGGGGCGAGTGATTGGCGGATGATGGGCGGATGATGGGCGGATGAACGGGGCGAATGATGGGCGGATGATGGGCGGAGGGGCGAATGATGGGCGGATTAATAGGGCGAATGCTCAGCGGATTAATAGGGCGACTGATGGGAGGAAAATACGGGATTGAAGGGGAAGGCGGGGATGGTGGAGTTGAATGGGGGTGGAAATGGAGGGGTGGAATTGCGGGGTATTATGCCGGCAGGGTTGGATGATGGGGCGCGAAGGATGTAGCACACGCGCACTAGGCGTACCTGATAGGGTAAGGCCAGTTGTACAGCTTCCTGTCGAGAATGTACTTGTTGAACACAATAACGGAGAAGCTTAAAACGATCCACACGAGCACGTAGAAGTAGCTCAGAGCGATCTTCCTGCCGACGGACTCCGATATCGCCATGATTCCCTGGTGCTAAACGGACGGTCGAGATTGAAAGCTGGTGATCAATAAGACAGACACGGGATTTGGCTCCAGAAGCTGTCGTTTCCGACTTCGAAAACTTCGATTCCCCTTTGCCCTGAAATAATTGTACTCTTGATGGTTGATGTATAAAATTAATCTAGGTTACGCCATTTAGAATTTAAGGTTGTAGAAGAAGCAATGCGGGGCTGACGGCGTGATAAACGGGAACGCAGGTGACTAATTCGACGTGATTTGACGTGAATTCAACGAAACGAGGATGGTGGCTTCCGTTGAGATCTAAATGTGAGATGCAATGTTGTCAACGAATTATCGAATGGTCAGGCAGAAGTGCCGACCGCTGCGCTTTAGGTCCCAGAAATCTTGGACCTGACCTGGGGGAAGTAGACAACCGTACCACTTCACAGGTCCGAGTAAGCAAAGTTGACAAACAAGATGGCATTCCAGTAATATAGGGACGGGTGACGTCAGCACATGCCGCCCCACGGGTCCTGACACGAAGGGATTTCGGGGCAAATCCGAAAACCCTCCGAATCCCTCCGGTCACCCCAAAACAGGCGAAAAACCCCTCCTAAAAACCCTCCGAATCCCTCCGTCTCAATGTCGTATTCTTATGCGCATATATATGTCAGCCGTACTGTTGCAATTTCGGGGACATTGATCGAGCACTGCTCGACGGGCATTGGCCAATCGCCGTCGAGCGCCGTGCACCCCCGACAAGACGGGTGACAGCCCCTGACGTCGCCTGACAGGCCGCGCTGTCGGTCGACGTGAATGGTAACGGGTTTCGCAACCGGCCGACGGTCACAATCGACGGCGCCTTCAACTGCGGTCGACCGATCGCTTCGACGGTCGACCGAGACGTCGCTGTCGGAAGGGCGACGGGTTACGTAAGTCGCCATCAAAGGGGTCATGTCAACAGATGACGGCCACGTCAAAAGGCCAAGGTGCTTTGAGGACACCTATAAGGGAAGGGTTATCAGCCCAACAACGGTTTCAATGAAATCCTGAACTGGGAGCAGCAGTAACATCGTTTTTATGAGTAAGGCCAGCGCTACGGCAACGAGAGCTTTCGGGTAGGCACTGATGGAGAACGATCCGTCGAGGACAACGCCTTTCCGGCAGGCAGCGGTAGGACCGCTACCCGTCGACGTTGAAACCATCTCGACGCAATCCGCTAGGACGTCACAAGCCATACCGTGCCCTGTCGACGTTGAAACCATCTCGACGCAACCCCCTAGGACGACACAAGCTATACCGTGCTCGACACCACCACCCTCGATGTCACGAGCCATACCGGGCTCGACAGCTCCACAATCGACGTCACGAGCCATACCGGTAGTGGGTCAGGCGGTTGCGTCGGATCAACGTTCGACGGAGCGTGCCGTCAATGTCGAAGTGGGGGGGCCACCGACCGAAGTCCCTTCGACGGCGCAATCCATACCTGTAGTAGTAGAACCGATTTCGACAACATCCCCTCCCTCGACACCGGAAGCGACTAACCAGCCGTCATCATCTTCGGCACCACAACGTTCGGGAACACCAACGGAACCAGTAGCCGCTGTCCCGAGCTCGACTGGTGGGCGACGTAGGAGAAGGGGTACGGGTGTTCCGGCTGAGGTTTTGCCACCACCCTCAGTCGGTACATCCGCTTCGCGAGCCACTCCCGCCGCGCCTATGCGCTCATCGAAAAGACCCAGCAAAGCGGACTTAGCCAGCCACGTCCCTGCAGAGACGAATGATGACGACGATGAACAGGGAGAACAGTCCGAGGCGGACGATGTCGAAGAGATGGACCCTTTGCGCCCTGCCGCGGCAAATATATCAGAAGAGGAGGCAGCCCACATTCTCGGTGACGAACAGGGCGAAGAAAATCCGTACCTGGCGACGGGAACACTCAAAAGTGCGATTCACCGTTGTCAGCTTCCGCTGCTGGCAATCGACCAGGATTCCACTCGGCCAAACTACGTCTCGGGTTTCATGCATTTCAAGGCTTGGGCTTGTGCAACCCTGGCGCCCGGAAAAAGCAGCGGAGTGCCGGTCGAGGAGCAGGTGATCAACGAGGACGAGGTCGGGAGAGAGATCGGCAAGGATTTAGGGAAGGGGTGGAGGGCGGCGCTCCTTAACGAGGAGCACCTGCATGGGCCTTGGACGTCGAAATGGCGGTTGCGGGCTTACGTCGAGTACATGTCGACGGAAACCGACGAACAGGCGGCTTCCTTGGATACCGGGCGGACCAGAGTAGCGGGACGGAAGCCGAAGAAATGCACCCCACCGATGATGCTGGCGCGCCTAACTGCGCTAGGGTGCTTGTGCAAAGTAGAGGCCATACTCTTCGGCGAACCACTCACAAAACCCATGGACGACATCACCGAGGCTAGGCAGCTATTAGCGGTCAAGCTGCGACAGCTGCACGACTATCAGTTCGAGTAAGTTCGCTTCCCTACCCCGTCGGTCGAGAACTTCTCACTCACTTTCTAACTTATTAGAAACTGTATCTGCCCACTCTATGCAGGAGCTGCGTCGACCCACACTGTGGCTCGCTCGACGATGTCTACACGGAGGAGCAGTTCCGCATTCTTGTTTCAGACATCCTGCCGCACTGGGCCAAGGTGTACTTCGGGTCGTCGATGGCGTACCCCAGTCTGTCGAGGGTGATGATTCTGATGGCGCATCACATGCTGGGCAGGGGGATCAGCATCCGTACGATCCGCTACTGCAACATGTTCACTCACGTCCTTCTGCCCATCACGAACAGCCCGGGGGAATCGTCGATCATCGTTCTCGTGGTCGCCTATCGCAATTCGAAGACCGTCAAAGACAACAAGCTCGGCCACTTGTACCTGACTCGACACATGGACTTCCAGCAGTGCGGCTTTGGAGCAATTTTCTTCTGGCTACACTTCCTTTTCGACCTCGTGCCGCTCTACTACAACAACGAGAATATCGTGCCCCCCTTGGAATTTTCAAACTCGGAGGCCTGGTCGAAGAAATACCTGTTCTTCGCCCTCTTCGACAAAGAGAAGATAGAGATGCTGTACCCGACGCACAACAAATGGGTGACATGGGCGATGAATAGCGTGGTGTGGATCCTGTCGAAAGTCACGCACATATTTCGACGGTCTGCGGCACAGATCCTCGCGGACAAGAACTTAGACCTCGATTCTGTTGAAAGACTAAAGTTTAGTAGGCTTAGGAGCCATGGTAGTTAAGTGACTTAGTGGTGAAGTTCGAGGGTAAGGAAAATTGTCGAGAGAGTTGTGTGAGAGAATGATGGTTTCACTATAGGTTCAAGGGTACAAATATGAAAGAAGTGAAGCAAGGTGCACCACCTAACAAGCAAGATAACTACACTAAGTCTACATTGCAGGTAGTTATAAAGTGATGTATACAATAACATTCTGACACACCCCCTAACTGCCTACAGTGAAGAACCATGTGCAGAAACACCCCCGGAAGGGGTACACCAAGCAGAGCGCAGCAGACAGAGAGGGCAAATGAGGAGGAGAGACTGTGGAGGAAGAGAAGATGCGAGGCAACGACTGAAGCTGCAGAGGCACGGGCACAGGAGCGGCTGACTCAGTGGCTACCGAAGCAAGGGCGACGGACTACTGGAGTGACTGGCTCCGCGGCTATAGACGAGCGGCAGGAGCAACGGACCCACTGGCGACTGGTGCAACAGGCTCACTGGCTACCGAAGCAAGGGCGACGGACTACAGGCGCTGCAGGCGACACGACAGCTACCTTCACACAACCTCCCCCAGCTGCCCCACTCCCCTCTCACACACTCCCTGTTCAAACCCTAGCTCCACTCCCACAGCACCCCCCTTAAACCCTAAACCCTAGGCTCCCACACACCCACCCCCCTCAGCGACAGTTGCAGCAGTGGGAGACGAGGGAGGAGGAGGAGCAAGGGGAGGAACACATAACCGCCACCCCCACACCCGCCACCCCCATGCTCGGCACCCCACACCCCCAGCACCACGGAATGCACGGGGGGGGGGGGGGGGGACGGGACGGGCTGCAGGTGCGGGCTGCTCCAGGGGCGGCCGCTGCAGGTGCGGGCTGCTCCAGGGGCGGCTGCTGCAGTTGCTGGCTACTCCAGGGGCGGCTGCTGCAGGTGCGGGCTGCTCCAGGGGCGACTGCTGCGGTTGAGGGCTGCTCCAGGGGCGGCTGCTGCAGGTGCAGGCTGCTCCAGGGGCGGCTGCTGCAGGTGAGGGCTGCTCCAGGGGCGGCTGCTGCAGGTGCGGGCTGCTCCAGGGGCGGCTGCTGCAGTTGCGGGCTGCTCCAGGGGCGGCTGCTGCAGTTGCGGGCTGCTCCAGGGGCGGCTGCTGCAGTTGCGGGCTGCTCCAGGGGCGGCTGCTGCAGGTGCGGGCTGCTCCAGGGGCGGCTGCTGCGGTTGAGGGCTGCTCCAGGGGCGGCTGCTGCAGGTGCGGGCTGCTCCAGGGGCGGCTGCTGCAGGTGCGGGCTGCTCCAGGGGCGGTTGCTGCAGGTGAAAAGTAGGAGGGAGGGGAGGGGAAGGGCGCGACTCCCAGGGCGCCCTGACGGGCGACGAGCTAGGGGGCCGCGCAGGCCCCCGAGAGCGCCTCGACGGGCGACGGGAGGGGACCGCGCGCGGGCCCCCAAGACGCCTCGACGAGGCGACGGGAGGGGCCGGCTCGCGGGCCCCGAAAGCGCCGCGACGAGGCGACGGGAGAGGCCTGCGTGCGGGCCCCCAAAACGCCGCGACGAGGCGACGGTCGGGGCCGGCGCGCGGGCCCCCAAGACGCCGCGACGAGATAGGAACCCGCCGCGCGCCGCGGGGCGCACGGCGGGCAGAAAACCGCCACGCGCCCCGAGCGCGTGGCGGGAAGAAAAATAGGAGGTCGCGCGCCACGGGGCGCGCGACACACAGTAGGGCAGCGGAAGTAGGTGGGCCCACAGCCCAGGAGCGTTTAGCTCTGATAGCATGTTGAAAGACTAAAGTTTAGTAGGCTTAGGAGCCATGGTAGTTAAGTGACTTAGTGGTGAAGTTCGAGGGTAAGGAAAATTGTCGAGAGAGTTGTGTGAGAGAATGATGGTTTCACTATAGGTTCAAGGGTACAAATATGAAAGAAGTGAAGCAAGTTGCACCACCTAACAAGCAAGATAACTACACTAAGTCTACATTGCAGGTAGTTATAAAGTGATGTATACAATAACATTCTGACAGATTCCATCGCACAGCTGGGTCAATGGGACATGAACAAGATGCACAGGTCATACGTCACAGGCATCCCGCGCCCAGCCATCCAGATGCAAGCGGGTTTCTCGCAGGAACCGGGCGACTATTACATCGGAAGATCGAAGACTAAAGTGCCCCCGAAGTTCCTGAAGGCTATCGAGGAGCACATCTTTCCTAAGGCGGAGCTGTGGCTCATCGAGGTATGTATCTGTCGAGCAAGGCAAACCTAAAGTGCTCGACAGGAAACGTACACAACGCTTGCGTTCATCATCGTCTCGTCGAGCTCCGCCTTCGGCGCCTCGCTAAGCGCATTCAACTGGTCTTCGAACACCTCCACATCGATCCCGCCTGCGGTTAGGATGAGGCCGCGTCGAACCGTCGGCTCGTTCACGACGGGTAGGGAGGCGGGGCCCGTAGCCATGACAGGCCTAGCAGTAGGGAGGGCGGGAGCGCAGGGAAGTTGGGAACTAGGGAGTGGGGAAGAAAAAGTCGGAGACTGCAACGAAATGAGAACGCACTCAGGGTATTTGTTGTTTGCCATCCCCTCCACCGAGACAGACTGTGGGGGCAAGGGCGACGAGGCAGGGCGCGTTCCGCGACGGCGGTAGGAGGAGCTTATGGCAGAGGGCGGCGGGGCTCTGTATTACTGGTTGCTTGCATGAGGTGGGGCGCCCTGCATGCAGCTGAAAGGCCCCTCTCAAGGAGCGGGAGGGGGCGTTCGACACATCACCACGGTCGAGCGCCAACCGAAACGGGCCCCGTCGAGGGCGAGAGCGGTGGAGCGCGGCGCAGATGGGCGTCGCTGCCGTCCGCTCGCGAGAATTCGCGGACGGGTTCCGTCGGCGAGGCGACGCCCGGCGAGGGTTCCCTTGGGTTACCGGACGGAACCCGTCTACGAACCGAGGGTGGGGTTCGGTTCGGTTGGGGGGGGGACCGCTGGCAGCTGGCGCCAGCTGGGGGTGCCCGTTTTCGGGCGAGCGGGGGGGTCGGCTCCCGCCCCTCGCGTGCGCCGCTAGGCCACTGCGGGAAAACGCAAATCCCTCCAGGGAAAACCCGCAGGGGCAAAAGGGGGTTTCCGGAGGGATCTCGGTGACATCTTCCCCCACCATACGCGACATATTTGGGTTCACGAATTGTGGGGACCTCTTAGAACATGGAAGTTGTGAGAGCTCCGGGTGGTTTTTCTGCACCTTTGCAAGGAAAATATATCCTTCCTAAGTGCGCATCTGACTCCACCGCGTATCCCACTGTTCACGGGCTCGACCGTATATGAGAATCCATAGCGGCTGTAACGCGGGGATCATTGTTGAGAGCAGTGACCGTGGCCCTCATTCCTCGATCTTTGGAGTGGTTAGAAGAGGTTTAAAAGATTTGGATGCAAAACGCAGGTGGAGGTTCGATTTTGCACGATCGATCGTAGGGCCGGAATTGAGGCACGCATCATGAAGGCAGATCATGGGAGAGTGTTGGTGATGAGTGAACCAATCCAAACCGGTGAACAGTGATAACGAGCTGTCACGATCGTCAGCGAGGAAACGTTTAACGGGGAAACATGATTCGCGAGTGTCGTGAAACCGGAAATGTGACGCAGACTGGGTTGTGACGCAGGCAAACCAAACCGGGCAATCCAACCAGGTGAGGTGACGGCGAAATATACGGGGCAACCGGATTCGTGCATCCCGTGAAAGCCGAAACCTGCCTAGTGTACAGCTTCCAAGCTACACATCAGGTCAAAAAGTGACGTAGGCCAGCCAATCAGAGAAAGCTACATCATGCGAGAAAAGAACCATTCCCCCCGCCCCCACAAACACCTTCACCCACTTTCCAAAGCGGATTTCTGAATCCAGCCTGGCCGCCATAGCTGATTCATCAATCACATGAACACGTTTGCTTGCAACTAGTAAACAGCTTGGCGTGAACATGATGTTTTTAACTAACAGCTTCCCGTCAGTTTGCATCAGAGTGACTTTTCTGTCTCGTGTGCGAAAGAAAGTGATATACCTAGCGATTTTCCAGTAGCGGTTTGAGGGTTTTCCGACACCTTTTCCGGGGAAAAAAAACATTCCGCGGCGAAATTTTCGCCTTCACCACTACTACTAGTAGTATTTATCCTTGTGTCCACTAAAATGGCAGCCTCAGCTGGCGTTATTGTACTCGTTTGCATTATTTCACTACTAGTTCTACTGCTGGTTCGGCTACCAGTCACAGCACACTCTCCGCAATTCTCTAACGGGAAATACCCGTCAACAGACGGCCGTCAAGCATTGTTCACACACTCTCGAGGGACGGGCAACGACCGTTGGATACCGCCGACCGAAAGATATGCAGTTATCCAGCGGAGCAATAATTCTCTGGCGAGGAGCTACCGGCCGTCAGGTGGTAGTTACCGGCGGCCGTTGCGTAACGGAAAGGGACTGCCGCCGACAACTTGCGACCCGCGGTTGGAGCTAATTCTGCCGTGCGAAGAATGGGAGGGATGCGACTGGAACGATGTGACTATAGCGAAGGGGAAGGAAGAGTTGGAGGAGAGGCGTGGGGTCGGGAATGGACAATCAGAAACAGATCCCAACAGCAGAGAGGAGGGTTTTTTTACTGGAGAGATGGACGGCGGAGATGAACCCGAAGGATCAGGGTTGGTTCAGATGGAAAGCAGCAGTGAGGCTCGTACTAGTAGTGATGGGGAATGGAAAGAGGGTACTGGAGATAGAGGGATGGAGAGGGAAGAAGAGAGAGAGGATTTTGAGATGAGTGATGACGACGAAAGGGACGGGAACGATTTGACCGACGAGGGGGAGGAGGGGGAGGAACGGGAGATACGTCAGGAAGGGGAAGAGAGAGACATTATCGAGTCTGTCTTTAGGGAGATCCATGCGTGGAAAGGAGAAAGCAGTGTTCAAAGGGAAGGGCAGGGGGGTGTTGAGGGTCAAAGGACGAGAAAGAGCACGGGGATTAGCACAGGGATTAGCACGGGGATTAGGAGTAGCAGGCGGAAAGAGGGGGATGGGGGTGGTTTGAGGGGATTGGTGGGGGTGCGGAGAGGAGTGAGTGGAGTAACCAAGCCGGGAATTGGGAGGACGGCCGGTGGAAGACGAAGGCTGGTGGACGGATGGATGGCAGGGCTGCCGGAGAAGTCAGAGAGAACAGCGATTGAGAAGCCAAGGAGTAGAAGGAGGAGGAGGAGGCTGGTGGATGGGTGGGTGGGCGGGCCGTGGGAAAAAGCCACATCGGCGTTTCAGTGGGTAAACGAGGCGGGCAATAAAGAGGAAATTCTTGGTGTGGAGGCGGGCAGTAAAGCGGACCCGCAAAGATACTACCAGTGGCAGTGGCCCGTGGAGAGGCTGGGCGCCAGCTGGCACGGCATGTTCATGCGGGGCGATGCCGGGTACAACATCAAGGTAAGTTCTGAGTTGACTCAAAACTGGACTGGGCCCGTAGCGAGGCTGGGCGCCAGCTGGCATGGCATGTTCATGCGGGGGGATGCCCGGTACAACATCAAGGTAAGTGAAAATAAGTGAAATGCTTAGCTAAGTGAAGTGTTGCTGCCTCGGATCCAGGACAGCTACCAATGGCAGTGGCCCGTGGCGAGGCTGGGGTTCAGCTGGGTGGCGACACCGAGTACGGCGACACCGGGTACGACGACACCGCGTACGACACCCCGTACGACACCGCGTATGACACCGCGTACGACACCCCGTACGACACCGCGTATGACACCGCGTACGGCGACGCCAGGTACGGCGTGAAGGTAAGTTCTGAGTTGACTCGAAAGTCGACTGGGCGTCAGCTGGAGTGACCGCGTTGTGAGTCAGCAGAAAGATGCACCGCGGCTGCTTGTAGGCGACTGTGGCTGTGGCCTGCGGCGCGGCTTGGCGCCAGCTGGCGTGGCATGTTTATGTGGGACGGCGCCAGCGCAACGGGCATTGTCCATGTAACTCTGTATTCTCCGTTCCTTCCCCCACACCCTTTGCAGAGCACCCTAGGCATGAGCAGGACACCCGGTCGGGTCGGGTCGGGCCGGATTAACCCGGCTTTTTGCCCGAGTCGGGCGAATATTCTCAGAACTCTAACCCCGGGCGAGTCAGGCCCGCGTACCTGACCCGACCCGACCTAAGCCGACCTGACCCGACCCGACCCGACCCGACCTGACCCGACCCGACCCGACCTGACCCGACCTGACCTGACCTGACCCGAACCGGGTACCCGCCTGGCCCGGGCTCATGCCTAATCCTCCCCGAATCAGCCCATGCCACTCCCCATGTGGATCTCTGACGCTGGTGTTTCAGAGCTCAATCTTCGCAGCAAATTGCAACTCCAGCAAGAGAATCACAAGCGCATTCCTCCTTCCGCCCTATCCCCTTCCCCCTTCCCCCTCCCCCACTTTTTCAGAACACCCCCTCATGTCAAGGTATCCTCCCTGAATCAGCCTACGTCAACCTCCCCATCTGGGGCTCGGACGCTGGAGTTTCAGAGCTGAAGCTTCTCAGCAATGTGCAGCGCCAGCAGGAGAAGCAAAATCACAAGCCCATTCCTCAAGACCAACGGGATTTCATGCTGAAGGAGCGCTGGCTGATTTGGATGCCGCGGTTTGGGCTGGGGAACTCGCTGAGGGCGTACACCTCGTCGTTCATCTTTGCTCTGCTGTCGGGACGGAGGCTACTGCGGTGGCATGGGGGCAACCACAAGCAGGTGAGGGGTTTTCAGGGTTTAGGGTGTGTTGGGTTCCGGGTTTTAGGGTGTAGGGTGTGATTGTAAGGCCTGGGGAACTCGTTGAGGGGTTACACTTCCGCGTTGATCTTTGCACTGCTGTCAGGCAGGCGGTTGTTGCGGTGACATGTGGGGAACCTGCGACAGGTGAGGGCGGGGAGAGTATGGGACAAGCATGTGGCATGCGAATGTGGGGGTTGAATGGAGGGTGCACTGGGGCATGTTGCATGGGATACGGGGCTTGTTTTGAGTCGACTCAAAACACGAATGTGGGGGTTGAATGGAGGGTGCACTGGGGCATGTTGCATGGGATAGGGGGCTGCACGAGAAGGCGAAGGCAGGGAGAGCATGGGACAAGCATGTTGGCATGCGAATGCGAGGGTGGGGTGGGGTGGAGGGGCGTACATGGACATATGGCATAAGACCTCATAAGAAGGTGAGTGGCAAGGCGTGTCACACCATTGCCGGGGGTGGGGGGGGGGGGGAGACCTGCACAAGCAGGTGAGGGTAGGGAGAGTTGTTGACCACTATTGGGATCTAGAAGCTCTATACACGCCTTTTAATTCACACTAGTTAGTCCCCACGAGGTCACTTCCAAGGGTCCTTAGGTGCCTGGCCAAGCCAGCCCCTATCCAAGGGTCTGTGTGTTTGTAGAGGGACGCACTGAGTGTGAAGGCAACGGTGTGCACAAGAGCACTCCCAAACTGATTTGCGCAGCGTTGACGATCGATAGGTGCGTGTGCAGAGTAGCTCCTCGCGTGAATACGTCGATAGAGCCATGTGATTGAAGAAGTGTTTTGAGACGTCTCAAAACACTTCTTCAATTTCATTCACCAAAGGGTTGATACAATCAAACACAAGCACAGAATTTATGTTTCGCCTAACACGCATGCAAAGGAAAATAGCAAAGCAGTTGTTTAACTGCATTCTAGGACTTCGTCATGTTGTCTTGGAAAAAAAGTTGCCCAACTTCTTATGCGTTTGGCTTAATGCGCCTCCTTAGAGTAACCGTCTTCAGTTGCACTTCATCCAAACACCCTTGCTGACTCTCCCACGAGCGATCATAAATTTATATGAACAATCATGCTTGCTCATGTGGGATTACTGTTCTCCCCAAGGCATTACGGTTGTAAAACGGTTTTCACCGTTTTGCACCTGTAAGAAACACTGTACCAATAAGCACGCAGCTTCTGGCGAAAATTCTTTGTGCCACGTAAAAAAAGACGAGGCTCGAGATTCGGTTATACAACTGAAATCCCGAGTCCGAGCACCCCTCGGGATCCCTTGGCACCCCTTGCAACCCACGCGCACCCCTAAGAGCTCGCCGTCCTGATGTGGGTAGGGCGATCATTATCGCCCTGTTCTGTTGCGATCGTGGGCCCTGCCACGCGCGCAACACTGCACGAACACACGCTCGGGCCCTGTGGGGCCACACGCAATATCTACACCCCACGCACGGTCCAGATTCTTTGCGCCACTTTACCTTGACTGACACGAAAATATCCCAAAGCAAAAACACTCGCTTTCCCCTTATGAACACACACGGAAAATCATGACAGAAAAATACAAACAGTCATGAACGATTATGATCATACATGATCGTACGTGATCGAACATGAACGGTCATGAACGTACATGAACAGCACGCGAATACTCATGAACATCCCGCCAAGGACCATGAACACACGGAACATTTGGAACTTCACGAAACACCACGAACACATGGAGACTCGAAACTCCTTGCAATGCACACACGAAACGCACGCGAACAGTCATGAATGCTCATGAATGCAACAACACAGAAATGCACATAACTCATGAACCGCTAAGGCGATTCATAAATCGTAAACGCACAAATGCAAAGCACACAAACGTGCATCACACAAAACACATTGCCTTAAAACAAAATCCTTCAACATTCACCTTCCTCGGCAAATAGGCGACAGGTTGACGTGCAAATTATATTTTGCACCCAACAAGAGTATGGGGCGAGCATGCTGGCATGCGAATGTGAGGGGGGGTGGAGGGGCGTATATGGACATATGGCAAACGGCCTCATAAGAAGGTAAGTGGCAAGGCGTGTGGCATCATTAGAGCATGTCGGAATGGGTGCATATGGGTGTGGGTGGGTCATGTGGGCATGGGCCTCCGGGAGTGATTATGAGAGTATAGCTAATGCGTCATAGCTTCATGACACTCCCATGCCTCTACCACCTCCCTTGTTCCTGACTCTCGATCGAGAGTGCCTCGTTTGTTTAGCTCAGCCACCCCCTTTCCTTGAAACCACCTCATTTTCCGTCCGCCGCCCCCTTTCCTCAGAACCATCATTTCCCATCAGCCATCCCCTTTCCTAGAAACCACCTCATCTCCCATCAGCCACCCACCCCGTTTCCTAGAAACCACCTCATCTCCCATCAGCCACCAACCCCGTTTCCTAGAAACCACCTCATTTCCCATCAGCCAACCCCTTTCCTAGAAACCACCTCGTTTCGCCTAACCACCCCCTTCCTAGAAACCACCTCATTTCCCATTAGCCACCCCCTTTCTTAGAAAGCACCTCGTTTCCCATCACCCACCCCGTTTCCCAGAAACCACCTCGTTTCCCATCACCCACCCCATTTCCCAGAAACCACCCCGTTTCCTAGAAACCACCTCATTTCCCATCAGCCACCCCCTTTCTTAGAAAGCACCTCGTTTCCCATCACCCACCCCGTTTCATAGAAACCACCTCATTTCGCATCAACAACTCCCTTAGCCAGAAACCACCTCGTTTCCCATCAGCCACCCCCTTCCCTAGAAAATGTTACTATGAAATCGCCTAGTTCCTACTGCTAATAGTACTACGATGCAGTTCTTCTCGGGGTCACCTCCGAGGGTCCTTTGGTGCCTGACCAAAGTCAGCCCCTATCCAAGGGTCCGAGTTTGTCGAAAGAGAGTTTCAGTGGCGTAGAACTGCAGCAGCGGAAGCCCTATGTCACGGCATAGTCAGAGAATCCTTGGTAGTGAGAACATAATCTTGGTGGCAGTGTGGGAGAGCGCTTGATAGGCAGAGTATATATATTTTTTAATTCAGAAGATGCATTTTTATAATCCCTAGGCTGTTTCTATTGCTAGCTATCCAACACCTCTGAACCGTTCCTAATATTTTCGCGTTTCCCTCGTTTTATTTTCGTGACTCAGCTAGGTTCCGATTCGCCGACGAATATTCTAAATGTTCGCGCAAATTATATCGACGGTGTTGATCTGTTATGATTTTTCGCGCCGTTCTGATAACGGTTGGGATTGACCCGTTTTGAACTGGTTGAGGCAGCGAGCTGACATGTTCAAAAGGTCCTCGCTTGACTTTGGTGTTCCGAGCGGATCGCCACGTGTCTTCTTCACTCGGAGCTTCGGAGCATTCTTCGAACTGAGGGTGTTGAAATGTCGGTGCGCAATCAGATCTGCTCGCGCCTCGTGCTCGGTAAAAACGGCCGCGTCGGCTGCTCAAAATCGTGTTCGCGACGCGTGTTCAAAATGTCGAACTCAAAGCGCAAGCAGGATCCAATCAGCGCCTACGACTTCTGTCAGTTTGAGCAGCAGTGAGCTCGAGCGTGAACAGAGATTTCGAGCTGTGATTGCTCAATCGAACTGTCGAGTCAAACTGAGTCTGACGGCTCCTATTGGTCGAAACTAAAAACCCCGTTGATCGCTCGATAATGAACGATTCGCCCAGCGCTGTAGAAAATTCCGTGCACACCTCCAAGGTAACAACCGACTGATTGATATATAGAATATTAATTCTGTATTAACAGAAACCACCTCATTTCCCATCAGCTATCTTATCAGGTCAGGTTGAGTCCGGTCGGGTGGGGCTGGTCCAGGTCGAGTCGGGTCAGGTCGGGTCGAGTCGGGTCAGGTCGGGTCGGGTCAGGTCGGGTCGGGTCGGGTCGGGTCGGGTCGGGTCGGGTCGGGTCGGGTCGGGTCGGGTGGGGTCGGGTGGGGTGGGGTGGGGTCGGAGCGTTCCGTTGCTCTTGTCTACCAGCTTCGTAGAAAAAAAAAAAAAACTAAAAAAAAAACTAAAAAAAAAAACTAAAAAAAAAACTTCAAAAAAAAAACCCTTTCATTAAATGAACATCATGATTTTTAACCATGGTCTTTCTCTGAAGCCACTTTATATTTATAAAAACCCACCCCTTTTCTCAAGATCCTTCCAATATAGAAAATTGTGCCTTTCTCAAAAGCCACTTCCATTTTCTGAAGCCACATCATCTTAGAGAATTTACCTTCTGTTTTCCCAAGTAAAAATCTGGTTGCCCTCCATTTGAGCATTGAAGCGCCTCAGTTCATACTTGCACTATATGAGGAGAATTTTGAGATGCCTTAGAAAAAGACTTGCACATTATGAGTAGAACTTTGAGATGCCTCCAAAAAAAGACTTGCACAACATCAAGCTCTCATCCCTCTATGCACCACCTTTTCCCACGCTTCCACCTCGTGCAACCCCTACACCCCATCCTCACATTTCCCAGGTCTTGGACCGTTTGTGCAATGCATTCCGCTGTGGGATAGACGAGTTGCAGTACAAAGGGGATATCGGGAGGCATGCAAAGCTCATGGATGCCCGGAAGCTAGAGCTCCATGGCTTTGACTACAGCCCAAATGTTGTGGCCGTTTACTCAGGTATGGCATTCATCTCATTTATGCATGAGAAAGCATGCAAAGAATGCTTTCGAACGAGTGATGACTGCTACCCTAGTCCCCCGCAACCAATTGATTCCTTTACTACTTGTCATTGTCTAGGTAATCAAACAAACCCCTTTTGTCATAGCGTTTCCTCTGCGCATTTATCGGCAGAGTCCTTTTTCTCACCACTACCCACCAATGTGAACATGACATGACATCACCCTTCCCGACCAATCATTCTCCAGAGCCGACTCAATACAATTGGACTCAATACAATTGGATTGACCCAGAGTCTCCCGCAAATAGACGCTGAAACAACTGATGTACTTCGACGCATACTAAAGCGTACTGATAAATGCCAATGCATATTTATCCAAAATGGTGCATTTTAATACACACTATAATCCAACCTTTGGCAACCTTTGGTTGCCACTCCCTTTGCCACAACCAATCGCAATTGCATTCACTGCCCCTCCTGCTTATCCTCCATCCACATTGCCCTGCCCATCCGTGCTTGCAGCCCATCCGTTCTTGCAGCCCATCCATCATTGGCAGGTAAGTTCTTCAACAGACCCCCAGGTCAACCAGTGCGTGCATGACACTTTCTTTTGTGCTTGCATTGCATCCCATCCATCACTCTCAGGTAAATTCTTCGACAGATTGTGGCGAAGCGACCCTCAGGTCAACCAGTGCGTGCATGACACTTTCTTTTGTGCTTGCATTGCATCCCATCCATCACTCTCAGGTAAATTCTTCGACAGATTGTGGCGAAGCGACCCTCAGGTCAACCAGTGCGTGCATGACGCCTTCTCCTGCACCTCCCTCTGGTGCATTCGCTCCAAAGTTCTCTCTCTCCTCCTCGGCAATGGCCCCAAGCCGGGAATGCAAGAGGTGGTCGACAGAGACTTGAGGGTGGTGCCGCCTCTGGTGCTCCGAGGGGAAGGGGTGGGGATAAAGGAAGGAGAAGAGAAAGGAGGGACAATGGATCCACAGATGGTTCAGAAAGGCGAGGGTCTGCGGCTGCAGTTTGACGTGGCGCTTCACATCCGTGGGCACGCAGTGTGAGTTCAAGTCGAAGGGGGGGTTGTTAGCTAGTTTCTGGGTGAGGTTGTGTGTGGTCTATCTGTGGATGGTTCAGAAAGGGGGGGGGGCTACGGCTGCAGTTTGACCTGGCGCTGCACATCCGTGGACACGCAATGTGAGTGGAAAGGGATCGAGTCACTCAGGGATTGGAGGGTTTGAGGGATTGGGTTGTTGGGAGGGGTTTATTGCTTGATGGCTTAATGGCTTGATGGCTTGATGGGTGGACGGATTGATGGGTTGATGGGTTGATGGGTTAATGGCTTAACAGGCCATGCAGCGTCAACCAGGATAGAGTTCGCCATGCACATGACAGGAGATAGTGCACCAGGCAAAGCCCTGCCATGCACATGTGTTAACGTTCACTTTCACTCCTTTTGTTGTCTCATCCAGCAACGTGGATCAAGAAGGCTGCTGTGGGTGGTTTCATTAATGCCACAGCCGCTGCTTATGGGTCTGTCTGTTTTCTCTCGCTCCCTATCCCTGCATTTCCAGAACTGTGGAGGGCGATTACTGTGTCAACAAGGACAGGAAATGCCAGGAGAGAGCGCAGAAGGGAGAGCAAGTCCGAGCGCGTGCATACATGAAGCCAAGACAGTGGCGCTGCATTGCCAGACTGATGTGTTGATGTTCGCTTTCACTCCTTTTACTGTCTCTTCCAGCAACGTGGAGGGCGATTACTGTATCAGCAAGGACAAAAAATGCCAGGAGAAGGCGCAGAAGGGAGAGCAAGTCCGAGCACATGCATACATGAAGCCAAGACAGTGGCGCTGCATTGCCAGACTGATGCAGTTCCTGCGGGTCAAGAAGGCCGCGGCAGGAGGTTTCACTAATGCCACAGCTGCTGCTGGCCGGCCTCCTAATGCTACAACCGCTGCGGGTGGTTTCAATAATGCTACAGCCGCTGCTGATGGTTCTGCCAATGCCACAGGCGATAATTTTGGGATCTTCGACGGTAAAGCCTCTCATGTTTCCGCCAATGCTGCCAACAAGACAAGCAAAGGTGCGGCAATCACAACAAGTAAAGAGCAATGCCAATAAGCAAACGAGACAACACAATAAGCACACAGAAAAAGACGACAACAGCAAAAGACAATTGTAACTGCTCACCATCATCCATCTCACCATCATCCATCTCACCATCATCCATTTCACCATCATCCATCTCACCATCATCCATTTCACCATCATCCATTTCACCATCATCCATCTCACCATCATCCATTTCACCATCATCCATTTCACCATCATCCATTTCACCATCATCCATTTCACCATCATCCATTTCACCATCATCCATCTCACCATCATCCATTTCACCATCATCCATTTCACCATCATCCATCTCACCATCATCCATTTCACCATCATCCATTTCACCATCATCCATTTCACCATCATCCATTTCACCATCATCCATCTCACCATCATCCATCTCACCATCATCCATCTCACCATCATCCATCTCACCATCATCCATTTCACCATCATCCATCTCACCATCATCCATTTCACCATCATCCATCTCACCATCATCCATTTCACCATCATCCATCTCACCATCATCCATTTCACCATCATCCATTTCACCATCATCCATTTCACCATCATCCATTTCACCATCATCCATCTCACCATCATCCATTTCACCATCATCCATGTCACCATCATCCATCTCACCATCATCCATTTCACCATCATCCATTTCACCATCATCCATCTCACCATCATCCATCTCACCATCATCCATTTCACCATCATCCATTTCACCATGAGCCTTTGCAGCCCTCCTTCCACCCCCAGTGCCGCGCCTCCATCTCCCCTGGCTCTCCACTCCACCCCATCCCCATGTCAGAACATCGTCTTGTACTGCTGGCCTTCTACTATGAGTCAAGAAAACTCCTCCATCTCCCCTAGCTCTCCACTCCACCACATCCCTTTATTCAAAACCTCTTTTTTTCTGTCTTTTTTTTTCGCACGAGTATTAGACTGTTAATCCTGTTGAGTCTCTCGTGCTGTCGGCAACGGTTAAGTGTTATCTCCTTATACTGTTCCCCTTTAACTATGAGTCAAGAAAACCGCAGTGCCCCTTCTCCACCTTCCCTGGCTCTCCACTCCACCCCATCCCTACATTCATAACCTGCACCTTCCTCTGTTGCTCCCCCTTGCCTTCCGTTCCTAACCCAACCACATAAATCCACTGTTTTGGCAGCTTCAAGTGAACACACGCGGCTTTCAGAGCATCCACAGAAAAGCGCTATAGTAGGGACTGAGAAAGAGAAAAGGAGGAATCTTCAGCAAAGGGTGAGGCTGCAGGATGAATGGACGGTTGATGATTCACTTCTTGTGGCCTCCATCGTGCCACCTGGCGAGCCCTCAGCCACTCATCTAGGCCACCTGCGGATATTCGTGTCTACAGATACAGAAGTTTTTCTCTCACAAGTGGTGGAAAATTTACGACCTTTTGGCGAGGTGTATTTCTCGGTATCACCTGCTGTTCACTTGTCAAAATCTGGTGGGGACTATCTGGCGACGTTGGCAGATTTTGCACTCTTAAGCAAGGGAGCAGTTCTGCTGAGCTTCACTCGATACATTAGCACGTTTGCTATTTTCGCAGGCATGTTGGGTAATGGGACAGTCATCGCTGATCCTGCTTTAGAGCACACTTGCCGCTTTGATGTGGAGCATATGGGAGAGTTATGGCCGTAAGATATTGAAACTTCTATAATGATCCATGTGCTCTGTGTGTATCAGCGGTTACTTGTTTTTCATTTGAACACTTGCCGTATTATTAGGCAAGTTACAACTTATTGGCCTTAAAACAAATGCACGTAAGAAAAAAAAGAAGCATGCCAGACATTAAACATGTTTTGTTTGACACCAAGAGGCTTACCCTGATATCGTGGGGCCTGGCAAGAGCCTTGGGAACTTGACAACATGCACGATCAGTTGTGGGAAACCTGAGTTATGGGACAATGAGTTATTGCATGACTGAATTGTCAAATTGCATTTGTTATCTCTAGGCTGTAGTAGGGCATACTCTAAGGAGTACAACAAATTAGGGTTAGGTAGTACTTGTACTCATCCTTACCACCTAGTCCACCATTCCTACGTACTGATTCTGACATGGTATTCAGAGCAGGTCCATCCTCCATAGGACCGCTCCGTTAGGGCCCACCGCTAGTTTAGACCTGCCTGAACTGCCAGAACTGCACATACTGCCCTGCCCGAACAGCGCTCCTCACGCTGCCCTGCCTGCACTGCCCCACGCGCTCTGCCCTGCCCGTCGCTCTGCCCGTTGCTGCCTAGCGCGCGACCTGCATGCTGCCCTGCTCGTGCTCTGCCCTGCCCTGCGCTCTGGCTGCACGCTGCCCTGCACTGGAGCCTGCGTGCCGCCCTGCCCTGCAGCCAACGCGCCGTCCTGCCCTGCAGCCCGCGCGTCGCCCTGCCCTGCGGCCCCTGCGCCGCCCTACCCTGCAGCCCGTGCGCCGCCCTGCCCTACCCTGCAGCCTTTGCGCTGCCCTGCCCTGCAGCCCATGCACTGCCCTGCCACTACAGCGACTACTGCTACTGCTACAGCTGCAGCTACAACAGTCGCTTCTGACGCCCTTGCGCCGCTGCTACTGATTGCCACTGCCTGTCATGGCCATTATCACGGTCATAGCAGCGTCTGGCGGTGGACAGCAGCAGCAGCGTCAGCCGGAGACTTTATCGCCGCAGCAGCTTCGCGAGTGGGTTATTCGGCGAGGCAGTCCTAGTGGTGGAGGTTATGGTGCTGGAGGTACTGGACAGCAGCGGCAGTCTCGTCGCCAGGAGACTCTCTCGCCACATCAGCTTCGTGAGTGGGTTATTCGGTGAGGCAGTCATGGTGGTAGAGGTTATGGTGTTGGAAGTACTGGACAGCAGCGGCTGTCTCGTCGCCAAGAGACTCTCTCGCCACAGCAGCTTCGTGTTTGGGTTATTCAGTGAGGGCGTCCTCGTGGTGGAGGTTATGGTGCTGGAGTCTGGACAGCAGCGTCAGCACAAGACCCTCTCGCCGCACCAGCTTCGCGAGTGGGTTTCCCAGCGATGCATCCCTGGTAGTGCAGAGGCTACTAGTCTAGGTGCCTATGAGCCTGGTAGCACAGGTGTAGCTTCTGTGGAGGCTTTGCACACCTTCACGCTTGACTCACGCGCGACTCGCTGCCTCTTTTGCGACTGCACCACAGTCACACCACTCACTACACCTGTCCCGGTCTCTCTGGCTGACCCTTCTGGGGGCCCAGTTTTAGCACGTGCCTCCACAGTTCTCCCGTGTCCAGCAGGCCCCTCAGGCTCCCTCACAGGTTTCCACCTCCCCTCGTTATCTAATAACTTGGTGAGTAACGCTGTCCTCCAGGACCAGTTTGTCACTGTGACTACTCCTGGGGGTGAGCTTGTGGCGATTTGTACGGATTCACGCACTGGCAAACACCTCGATATGTTCAATCAGAGGCCTGGGTCTGGCCTGTACACACTGATTAGTGAGTTTGCACAGGTGGCTGCGTCAGGTCAAGTGGGTGCGTCCGATCAGTTAGCTGCGTCTTGTTTGTGTCGGCTACTCTCGCACCAGACTCTCCTCTGGCACCACCGTCTTGGTCACCCCTCCCTACCGTGCCTGCGTGGCATGCACTCGTGTCTCCTTGTCTCTCGCCTACCCAGGTCCCTGCCCCCGCTCCCGCGCTCGCTTGCACAGCCGTAACTTCCCTGCGTCGAGGGGCGGCAGCGCGCCACTCCTCGATCCTCCTCGTTTCCGCCGACCACTGCTCCTCTGCAGACTCTTCACATGGACGTGTGGGGCCCAACCCGTGTCCATGGACAGGACCAGGAGCGCTACTTTCTGCTGGTTTTTTACAACTACACACGCTACACCACGGTCTTCCCCTTGCGGAGCAAGGCGGATGCCCGTGGTGTTTTGATCGACTGGATCATCGCTGTTCATCGCCATATGAGCACTGGGTTTGAGCAGGACCTTCAGGTCCTACAACTGCACTCTGACAGAAGCGGTGAGTATTCCTCCGGCCTCCTTCAGACTTTTGTCGTGCAGAGGGCATCGCCTAGTCGTTCACGCTTCCGACCTCTCCACAGCAGAATGGGATTGCTGAGCGTCGCGTTGGCTTGGCCATGGAGGTTGCTCGCACCTCCATGATCCAAGCGGCAGCTCCCCATTTTCTGTGGTCGTTTGCGGTCCGATACGCTGCGCATCAGCTCAACCTCTGGCCCCGTGTCTCTGTGCTAGAGACTTCGCCTACACTGCGTTGGACGGGGGAGGTTGGTGATGCGTCGGCGTTTTGGGTCTGGGGTGCACTCTCCCTTGTCCGCGATACCACCGCGGGCAAGCTCTCTCCTCGCACTCTCCGCTGCGTCTTCCTTGGCTTCCCCACCGACGCCCCGCCCTGGCAGTTTTACCACCCTGCCTCGCGCTGCGTCCTGTCCTCATAGGACGTCACCTTTGACGAGTCGGTCTGCTTCTACCGTCTCCACCCGCACGCGTCTTCCCCACTCTCCCCGTCGCCCCTCTTCCTGGTCCAAGGTCCCCCCCCTGTAGACCCCCTCCCCCCACAGGGTCTTGCTCCCTCAGGGGTGTCTCAGGTCAACCCACCCCCCTTTGTTGAGCCTTTGGAGATCTCCTCTGACACCTCTGGCCTAGCTGAGGGGGGTGACCTCGCTGCTGACGACACGGCGGCGACTCGCCGCTCCCCGCATTTGGAGACCCCTCCTGGTTTTCCGCCTCGGCCGTCTTCGCCGCCTCCGCAGCCTGTCGCTGTAGACTCTGGTGCTGCTATGGGTGGTGAGACTGGGGGTGCGGACTCTAGAGGTGCTGGTCCTGAGGTTGCTGACTCTAGGGGTGCTGAGTCTGGGGGTGCTGGATCTGGGGGTGCCGGTTCTGGGGGTGCTGACACTGGGGATGCTGCGAGTCCTAGTGGTGGTGGAGTCGTGGGTTCTCCTGCTGGGGGTTCTAACGTTGGACAGCAGCAGCAATCTCGTCGACAGGAGACCCTCTCGCCGCAGCAACTTCGCGACTGGGTTGTTCGGCGGGGCCGGGTTCCTGGAGCTTGGAGTACGGGTGCTGGAGGTGCTAGAGCTGGAGATGCTAGAGGTACAGGAGCTGCTGGTACTCGAGGTGCTAGAGCTGGAGGTGCTGGAGGTACTGGATCTGCTGGTGCTCGAGTTGCTAGAGCTGGAGGTACTAGAGCTGCTGGTACTGGATGTGCTAGAGCTGGAGGTGTTGGAGGTACTGGAGCTGGTGGTGCTGGAGATGCTGGAGCTGCTGGTGCTGGACGTGCTAGAGATGGAGGTGCTGGAGGTACTGGAGATGCTGGTGCTGGAGGTGCTAGAGCTGGAGTTGCTGGGGGTACTGGAGCTACTGGTGCTGGAGGTGCTAGAGCTGCTAGTCCTGGAGGTGCTAGAGCTGGAGGTGTTGGAGGTATTGAAGCTGCTGGTGCTCGAGGTACTGGAGCTGCTGGTGTTGGAGGTACTGGAGCTGCTGGTGCTGGAGGTGCTGGAGCTGGAGGTACTGGAGTTTCTGGAGTTGGTGGTACTGGAGGTACTGGAGGTGCTGGAGCTGGAGGTGCTGGAGCTGCTGGAGGTGCTGACGGTACAGGTACTACGCCGCAACGACCGTTTTTCTACCCACAGCCACAGTCGTTCCTACCAACGCCTGACTCGGCACTTCGGCAGGTTCTTAGTCTTCTGTCTTCCGCTGGCCTTACTCCTCCTCTCCTGTGTCCTCCGCCTGACCAGTCACAGCCGCAGTTACTGCCTTGCTCTCCACTGCCTGCTCCTTCTCCCTACCTTGCACAGACATGCTCCCTGGCAGAGCGTCGTGAGCCTGAGTCTCGTCCTGCCTCCCCTGTTCGTCCTCCACCTGTCCCCGTCACGCACGCTATGGCACTTCGTCCTTCCTCTGTTCCACAGCATGTTGCTCTACCGTCTCCTCCGGCGTCCTCTCTTCCGGACGTTCTTGACCCTGAGTCCGACCTTGCTCGTGCTGCTAGTCCTACTGTCACTCGTTTCCTAGCCACTGTTGTCACTGACCCTTCCTTTGAATCTACTGTTGCGTCTGCCCTAGTCACTGAACTAGTCGACTTTGCTGCTACCCATCGTCTCGACAATGTCGTCAGTCTTGTTACTGAGTCTGAGTCTGTCTGTCCTCCGTCCGTCGGGGGTGAGCTTGCCCTTGGCTATGACATCCTTGAGGACATGCAATTTGAGCTCGAGTGTCTCGTGGCCATTTTACCCCGTTTCGCGTCCATGCTGCTCTGCCCTGAGGGAGACCCGAAAGTAGTGGACATCCCCACCCCGCGCTCCTACGTGGAGTCGATCACGGGTCAGTACTCCTCTCAGTGGCAGACAGCCATGGACGCAGAGATGGCGTCCTGGAAATCCACAGGCACCTACGTTGACGAGGTTCCCCCTCCTGGGGCGAACATAGTCGATGGCATGTGGATTTTCAGAGTGAATTGGCCGACAGGTTCTCCGCCTGCCTTCAAGGCGCATTATGTTGCTCGAGGCTTCAGTCAGCGACAGGGGGTTGACTTCTTCCGGAACTTCTCCCCCACCCTGAAGATGACCACTCTTCGGGTGTTACTGCACGTTGCAGCACAGCGTGACTACGAGCTGCACTCCCTCGACTTCTCCACAGCTTTCTTGGAGGGCAACATTCACGAGGAGATCTGGCTGCGCCACCCACCTGGCTTCACTGGGTCGTTTCCTGAGGATACCCAATCGAGCCTCCGGCGGCCAGTCTACGGTCTCCGCCAAGCACCCCGCGAGTGGCATGACACACTGAGGACGACGCTTGCGGCTCTTGGTTTTCGCTCCTTTGACAGATGACCCTGCTCTGCCACTGTGTGTCGCAAGAGCCGCAAGTGTCGTCCTCAGTGTGTCGTGCCACTCACGGGGCGCCTGGCAGAGACCGTAGACTGGCTGCCGGAGGCTCCACTGAGTACCCTTAGGAAACGACCCAGTGAAGCCAGGTGGGCGGCGCAGCCAGATCTCCTCGTGAAGGCTGCCCTGCAAGAATGCTGTGGAGAAGTCGAGGGAGCGCAGCCCGTACTCATGGTGTGCTGCAACGTGCAGCAACACCTGAAGAGTAGTCATCTTTGGGATGGGGGAGAAGGTATGGAAGAAGTCGACCCGCTGTCGCTGACTGAAGCCTCGAGCAACGTAACGCGCCTTGAAGGCAGGCGGGGAGCCCGGCGGCTGCTTCACTCTGAAAATCCGCATGCCATCGACTATGTTCACCCCAGGAGGAGGAACCTTGTCGACGTAGGTGCCTGTGAACTTCCATGAAGCCATCTCTACGTCCATGGCTGTCTGCCACTGAGAGGAGTACTCACCCGCGATCGCCTCAGCATAAGAGCACGGGGTAGGGATGTCAAGTGCATCCGGGTCTCCCTCAGGGCAAAACAGCATGGATGCGAAACGAGGTAAAGCGGCCGCAAGACACTCAAGCTCAAACTGCATGTCCTCAAGTACGAGACAGCCAAAGGCAGGCTCAACCCCGACGGACGGAGGACAGACAGACTCAGACTCACTAACAAGACTTGTGATGTAGTCGAGACGACTCCTAGCCGCAAATTCGACTAGGGCAGACGTAGCAATAGACTCAAAGGAAGGGTCAATGAGGATAGTGGCGAGGAGACGAGTGACAATAGGAAAGGCAGGACGAGCAAGGTCGTACTTAGGGTCAGGAACATCAGGAAGAGAGGATGCATGAGGAGACGGCAGGGCAACATGCTATGGAAAAGAGGAAGGACGAATTGCCATAACGTGAGTGCCTGGGACAGCAGGAGGATGAGGACGAGCGACACGACGAGCACGAACAGGTGTGGAGGCACGAGAGTCAGGCACACGACGCTCAGTCAGGGAGTCTGACTGCTCAGTGTAGGGAGAAGGAGCAGGCAGTGGGGAGGCAGGAGGCAACTGTGTCTGAGACGGGACAGACGGTGGACACAGGAGAGGTGGAGTGAGGCCAGTGGAAGATGGGAGACTAAGAACCTGGCGAAGGACCGAGTCAAGTGGTGGCAGGGACGACTGCGGCTGCAGGTAGAAAAACGGTTGGCGCGGTGCAGTACCCGTACCGTCAGCAGCTCCAGTACCTCCAGCACTTGCACCTCCAGTACCTCCAGCTCCAATGCCTCCAGCACCAGCACCTCCAGGTCTGGCAGCTCCATCACCTCTAGTACGAGCACCTCCACGACCAGCAGCTCCAGCACCTCCAATACCTCCAGTACCTCCATCTCCAGCGCCTCCAGCACCAGCAGCACCTACAGCACCTCCTGCACCTCTAGCTCCAGCACCACCTCTAGCACCAGCATCACCAGCACCACCAGCTCCAGCACCTCCAGCACCTCCAGCACCTCCAGCTCCAGCGCCTCCAGCACCAGCAGCACCTCCAGCACCAGCAGCACCAGCACCTCCAACACCAACAGCTCCAGCACCTCTGTTAGTACCTCTAGCACCAGTAGTACCTCCAGCACTTCCAGTTGTACCTCCAGCACCAGCACCTCCAGCACCTCCAGCAGTACCTCCAGCACCAGTAGTACCTCCATCACCACCAGTAGTACCTCTAGCACCAGCAGCTCCAGGACCTGTAAAACTCCAAGCTCCGGCACCAGAGCGGCCTCGCCAAACAACCCACTCACGAAGCTGCTGCGGTGAGGGCGTCTCGAGTCAGCTAGGCGTCTGCTGCTGTCCAACGCCAGGACCTGCAGTAGGAGCACCCACGGCCTCGCCACCACTAGGACTCGCAGAACCCCCAGAGTCAGCACCCCCAGATCCCTCACCCCCAGTCTCAGCACCCCCACCCTCAGTCACAGCACACACAGTACCAGCACCTTTAGAGTCCTCACCCCCAGTGTCACCACCCCCAGCAACACCAGAGTCCACATCTACAGGCTGTAGAGGCGGTGAAGACGGTCGAAACGGAAAACCAGGAGGGATCTCCAAGGGTGGAGAGCGATGAGTGGCCGCCGTGTCGTCAGCGGCAGGGTCACCCCCCTTAGCTGGGCCAGAGGTGTTAGAGGAGACCACCAATGGGTCAACCAAGGGGAGTGGGTCTACCTGAGACACACCTAAGGGAGCAGGACCCTGTGGGGGGAGGGGGTCTACCGGGGGGGGACCTGGGACCAGGAAGAGGGGCAACGGGGAGAGTGGGGAAGACGCGTGCGGGTGGAGACGATAGAAGCAGACCGACTTGTCAAAGGTGGCGTCCTGTGAGGACAGGACGCGGCACGAGGCAGGGTGGTAAAACGGCCAGGGTGGGGCGTCGGTGGGAAAGCCAAGGAACACGTAGCAGAGAGTGCGAGGAGAGAGCTTGCTCACTGTGGTATCACGGACAAGGGAGAGCGCGCCCCAGACCTGAAACATCGACGCATCGCCAACCTCCCCCGTCCAACGTAGTGTGGGCGAGGTCTCTGGCACACAGACATGGGGCCAGAGGTTGAGCTGATGCGCTGCATATCGGACCGCAAACGGCCACAGAAAATGGGGAGCAGCCACATGGATCATAGAGGTACGAGCAACCTCCATGATCAAGCTAATGCGACGCTCAGCAATCCCATTATGCTGTGGGGAGGCCGGAAGCGTGAACGACTGGGCGATGCCCTCCGCACGACAGAAGGCCTCAAAGAGGCCAGACGAGAACTCACCGCCTCTGTCAGAGTGCAGACGCAGGTCTGGACGGTCCTGCTGAAACCGAGTGCTCAGATGGCGACGAACAGCGATGATCCAGTCGACCAAAACAACACGGACACCCGCCTTGCTCCGCAAGGGGAAGACCGAGGTATAGCGCATGTAGTCACCAATAACCAGCAGAAAGTAGCACTCCTGGTCATGTCCACGGATGCGGGCTGGGCCCCACTCGTCCATGTGGAGAGTCTGCAGAGGAGCAGTGGTTGGCGGAAACAAGGAGATGTGAGGAGCAGCGCGATGCCGCCCCTCGACGCAGGGAAGGCACGGCGGTGCAGGCAAGCGCGGGAGCGGGGGCAGGGACCTGGGGAGGCCAGACACAAGGAGACGAGAGTGCATGCCACGCAGGCGCGGCAGGGAGGGGTGGCCAAGATGGTGGTGCCAGAGGAGAGTCTGGTGCGAGAGTAGCCGGCACGAACAAGACGCAGCCACCTGACCCGACGCAGCTACTTGTGCAGACTCAGTGGTCACTGTGTACAGACCAGATCCAGGGCTCCGAGTGAACGTGGTGAGGTTCTCACTAGTGTGTGAGTCCGTACAAATTGCCACAAGCTCACCCCCAGGAGTAGTCACTGTGACAACCTGGTCTTGGAGGACAGCGTTGCTCACCAAGTTCTTAGAGAACGAGGGGAGGTGGAAACCTGTGAGGGAGCTTGAGGGGGCTGCCGGACACGGGAGAACTGTGGAGGCACAAGCTACAACAGGGCCCCCAGAGGGGTCAGCTAGTGAGACCGGGACATGTGTAGTGAGTGGTGTGACTATGGTGCAGTCGCGGAAGAAGCTGTGAGTCGCGCGTGAGTCAAGCGTGAAGGTATGCAAAGCCTCTACAGAAACCGCACTTGTGCTGCCAGCTCACAGGCACCTAGACTAGTAGCCTCTGCACTACCATGGACGCGTCGCTGGGAAACCCACTCGCGAAGCTGCTGCGGTGAGAGGATCTCCTGCTGACGCTGCTGCCGCTGCTGTCCAGACTCCAGGACCATAACCTCCACCACCAGGACGGCCTTGCTGAATAACCCACTCACAAAGCTGCTGTGGCGAGAGAGTCTCTTGGCGACGCTGCTGCCGCTGCTGTCCAGCACCTCCAGCACGAGTGAAGTCCAATGCTCTAGGACCAGAGTGGCCTCACCGAATGACCCACTATCGAAGCTGCTGCGGTGATAGAGTCTCCGGCTGACGCTGCTGCTGCTGCTGTCCTCCCCCAGACGCTGCTATGACTGTGATAGTGGCCATGACAGGCAGTGGCAGTCAGTAGCAGTGGCGCAAGGGCGTCAGTAGCGACTGCTGTACCTGCAGTTGTAGCAGTAGCGGTGGTCACTGTGGCTGCAACTGCAGTAGAAACTGTTGGAGTGGCTGTGGAGGCCAGTAGGGTGCGTGGTCAGCAGGGCACGGGCTAGCAGCAGGGCACGGGCAGCGCAGGCACGAGGGCGGTAGGTCAGCGCGGGCTGCAGGGCAAGGCGGCGCGTGGACGGCAGGGTAGGGCAGCGCGCGGGCTGCAGGGCGGCGCGCAAACAGAGCGCGCGGGCTGCAGGGTTGCCGGGTGCGGGGTGCAGGGCGCACAGGCTGCAGATCGGCACGCGGGCTGCAGGGCGGCGCGCGGGCTGCAGGGCGTGCGGGCAGCAGGGAAGGGCAGCGCGCGGGCTGCGGGGCAGGGCTGCGTGCAGGCTGTAGGGAAGGGCGGCACGCGGGCTGCAGGGCGACGCGGGCAGCAGGGCGACGCAGGCAGCAGGGCGTGCAGGCTGCAGGGCAACGCAGACAGCAGGGCAACGCAGGGTGCAGGGCGTGCGAGCTGCAGAGCGTTGCTGGCAGCAGGGCGACGCGGGCTGCAGGGCGCGCAGACTGCATGGCGATGCGAGCGGCAGGGTGACGCGGGCTGCAGGGCGTGTGAGCTGCAGGGCATCGCGGGCAGCAGGGCGACGCGTGCTGCAGGGCGTGCGGGCTGCAAGGTGACGCGAGCAGCAGGGCGACGCGAGCTGCAGGGCAGGGCAGCGCGCGGGCTGCAGGGCTGCGCAGGCAGAGCAGCGGGTGGGCTGCAGGGCGTGATGGCGCGCAGGCTGCAGGGCAGGGTAGCGCACGGTTAGCAGGGCGGCGCGGGCAGGGCAAAAAACGTGCAGTTCCTACGGTTGGTGGGTCCTAACGGAGCGGTCCTATGGACGAACCAGCTCTGAAACCATGTCAGAATCACTAGGCAGTAATGAATGAACTATGCAAGAGTGAGATACAAGTAGTAAGCCCTAACTGGAGTTGTACTCTACACTGAGCACCTCACTGTATCCTAGGAGAACTAAGAACATATAAATATGTTTTGACAAGTCCACCATTCCTACGTACTGATTCTGACATGAATCAATGCTCCATGTATAAATTGCATGACCCCACCCCACGCTCCGTGATTTATGGGACAATGAGTTATTACATTATTGCAGGACAAACTAAGGGGTTTGTCGCAACACTGGGTCACACACGCAAGCCCCGAGGGGCCACACGCGAGATTGGGACCCCACGCGCGCGTCCGGGCTTTGGCCCTTCATGAAAGCTCCGGACTAGTCACCAGCATCACTTCATGAGGACTCCTGAATTTCTCATGAGCCTTCATGAAGCTCGCTCTTCATGAGAATCACATGAACGTATATGGGACCATGAGCTCTCATGACTGGCCATGAGTTCGCAATGAACATGACTGGAACGAATTGAAATTTTGAATGCGCATGAAATGCGAGACGATTTGCAGGCGGCTGATTGATGTGCAAAAAATATATTTGCACCCAACACCTACATGTTTCTCATGCAAATGGCTGATTTCCCCAGATCAGGACATAACAGACCTCGAGGAGCTTTGGCTTGGTCTTCCGCAGTGAGCCGCGCGTGGTAGAATGGCGCAACATCACATTTATTCTCGCTGCTCGCTCAGGTGTGCTTGACCTCACGAGGGGCTGCCAATTGGGCTCGGTGGCATATGCGTTGCATACATGCAGCTTCGGTGGAGATTGGAGGCAACACAACATTTCTTACAACGACTCCTACGTCAGCAGCATGTTACATACTTTCACAACATGCAGATTAGCGGTGTACTCATACACTCTTTCACCACGTAAACTATACTTTCATCTTTATTTCATCCAGACATGCCTTCCCCTAAGAGAAACCGGCCTCCAGGCCTCACCGGAGCTGCTCCATCTTCGTCCAATGCCCGTCCAAGTCCTACCCTTCCTTTTGTTATAGCCCCCGCTCCTTCTCAGCCATCCTCATCGACACCTCATTCTTCCAACCACCAGCCAAACTCACTCCAGCCCGCCTTTTCTGGTTCTTCTCACCACAACACTGGCCCTCGCACGAGGCCTCCTCTTGTCTCCTCTTGTCGCGATGGCCTCCGCACTACCCCCCCATCCTTCAACGACTCGCTTTGCCTCTTCCTCGGGTCAGACCTTTTAGTTAATATACCCAGCCATGCCAGCCGCTGCATCCGACGACCAACAGCCCAGTTTCGCAGTGCACCTACTGCCCACCTGATCTTGCTCGCTTACCCATGCCTCGTCCGCTTGGCTGCCACCCCCTCCTTCTGATCTCTTACTGCAGCATGCGCCCTTCTCGCTGAATGCTTCATGAGTGGGGATTGGCATGCCCTTTTGCTCGAAGTCTCTACCGGTGCCACTCCTGCTGCTCGCCCTCTCACCTTCAGCTCACTCTACATCCACCCCAATACTCCTTCATCGAGCTGCACGGTTTGCCAAGTGAGGTGGCTGGTGCAGCTCATTAGAGAACCATCTTGTTGAGACACGCGTCACCGTAGAGCGGCTCTTCATGTAAACTCAACTTGTTGAGGTGTGTGTCACTGTAGTAGGTTTTCCCACGCCTCGCCCGCTTGACTGCCGCAGCCCCCTTGTTGTCGCTTACAGAAGCATGCGCCCTTCTCACTCAATGCTCATGAGTGGGGATTGGCGTGCCCCTTTCATTAAAGCCTCTGCCACTGCCACTCCTGCTGCTCGCCCTCTCACCCTAGCTTCAGCTCGCTCTACATCCACCCAAGCGCTCCTTCACCGGGCTGGAGATTTTGCCAAGTGCAGTGACTGGTCCAGCTCATTGGTGAGTCATCTTGTTGAGACACACGTCACCAAAGCAGTGCTCGCCTTGAGAAGTCATCTTGTTGAGACACACGTCACCATAACAGTGCTCTCACTGAGAAGTCATCTTGCTGAGACACACGTCACCACAGCAGTGCTCTCCCTGAGAAGTCATCTTGCTGAGACACACGTCACCATAGCAGTGCTTTCCCTGAGAAGTCATCTTGCTGAGACACGCGTCACCATAGCAGTGCTCTCCCTGAGAAGTCATCTTGTTGAGACATGCGTCACCATAGCAGTGCTCTCCCTGAGAAGTCACCTTGCTGAGACATGCATCACCATAGCAGTGCTCTCCTTGAGAAGTCATCTTGCTGAGACACGCGTCACGATAGCAGTGCTCTCCCTAAGAAGTCATCTTGCTGAGACACACATCACCATAGAAGTGCTCTCCCTGAGAAGTCATCTTGTTGAGACACGCGTCACCATAGCAGTGCTCTCCCTGAGAAGTCTTGCTGAGACACGCGTCACCATAGCAGTGCTCTCCCTGCGAAGTCATCTTGATGAGACACACGTCACCATAGCAGTGCTCTCCCTGAGAAGTCATCTTGCTGAGACACGCGTCACCATAGCAGTGCTCTCCCTAAGAAGTCATCTTGTTGAGACATGCGTCACCATAGCAGTGCTCTCCCTGAGAAGTCACCTTGCTGAGACATGCATCACCATAGAAGTGCTCTCCTTGAGAAGTCATCTTGCTGAGACACACGTCACCATAACAATGCTCTCCCTGAGAATTCATCTTGCTGAGACACGCGTCACCATAGCATTGCTCTCCCTAAGAAGTCATCTTGCTGAGACACGCATCACCATAGCTGTGCTCTCCCTGAGAAGTCATCTTGCTGAGACACGCGTCACCGTAGCAGTGCTCTCCCTGAGAAGTCGTCTTGCTGAGACATGCGTCACCATAGCAGTGCTCTCCCTGAGAAGTTATCTTGTTGAGACACACGTCACCATAGCAGTGCTCTCCCTGAGAAGTCATCTTGCTGAGACACGCATCACCAGGACCGCCAACTCCAGCACCTCCAGCGCCAGCACCTCCAGCTCCAGGGTCTCCAGCTCCAGCGCCTCCAGAGCCAACACCTCCAGCTTCAGCGCCTCCAGCTCCAGTGCCTCCAGCGCCAGTGTCTCCAGCTCCAGCGCCTCCAGCTCCAGCTCCTCCAGCTCCAGGGTCTCCAGCTCCAGTGCCTCTAGCTCCAGGGTCTCCAACACCACCAGCTCTGGCAGCTCCAGTACCCCTAGTACGAGCACCTCCAGGACCAGCAGCTCCAGCACCTCTGGCACCTCTAGCTCCAGCAGTAACTCCAGCACCTCCAGGACTAGCAGTTCCAGCGCCTCCAGCTCTAGTGCCTCCAGCTCCAGCGCCTCCAGCGCCAGTGCCTCCAGCTCCAGGGACTCCAGCTCAAGCTCCTCCAGCTCCAACACCTCCAGCGCCAATGCCTCCAGCTCCAGGGTCTCCAGCTCCAGAGTCTCCAACACCACTAGCTCCGGCAGCTCCAGTACCTCTAGTACAAGCACCTCCAGGACCAGCAGCTCCAGTACCTCCGGTACCTCTGGCTCCAGCAGTAACTCCAGCACCTCAAAGACTAGTAGCTCCAGCACCTCCAGCTCCCGAGCCTCCAGCGGCAGAGCCTCCAGCTCCTGCAGCGCCACTCCTAAGGCGTGTGCGCTGAGTAAACCACTCGTGCAGCTGCTGCAGTAAGAGAGGCTCCCGCCGGGGAGACAGACGTGGCGAGGCACCTGCAGGACCTCCAGCAGACGCAGTACCCCGAGGCTCAGCACCCCCAGAGTCCGCACCCTCAGACTCAGCATGTCACAGGATCGAATTTCCACTCGAGAATGTTGCACTAAAGGTGAGTACAAGGCGTATTTATACTCAGAAATACATAGAAACAACAGATAATCCGAACCTTCGGGAACGCGCTCTTCTAGAATAGATAATCACAAGTGCGCATAAGCACGCAAGCCCATTGGCGCTTCGGATTATGGCGAGATTACGCCTTGTACACCACTATCGGTGCTGTCGGTGCCGTATAATGTAAATGTCGGTGCCAAAAATACCAAATAAGTAAAATAATCGGAAAGCTCTAGAAAATAGAATAGTAGTCCGATTGAGGTGAAATAAAGTGCAAATGAAAGAGGAAAATAAGGAGAATAAGATGGAGTAAAAACATGGAAATGAGAAATATGTCGAACATCGGCGTACTCTCACACTTCCCCCCCTCAAAGCTGGGTGGTAGATGTAACACCCTGCTTGACAAGATAGTCGCGGAGAGAACGTTGGGCGTTACTCATGTCTTCTTCAGAGACCCAGCTGTCCTCAGAAGGATCATAGCCTTTCCAGCGTACGAGAAACTCCAGGGCGCCATGCCGACGACGACGATGTGCAAGCACAGATTCAACCTCGTACTCAAGTTCATCATTCACGAGGACTGGAGGCGGCGGCGGAGGTTGGCGTCCCGTGTACAGCTTATTTGGATCTTGATAGGGTTTAAGAAGCTGCACGTGGAAGGCATTATGAATCTTCCAAGAAGCTGGTAGGCGCAAGCGGAATGTGACTGGAGTGACCTGTTCTTCTACGAGGAAAGGTCCGCAGAAGCGAGGTCGTAACTTGGATGGAAGGTGACCGAGGTTGAGGTTGCATGTGTCGAGAAGCACATGGTCACCAACCGCAATGGTATGATCACGTCGATGGCGATCGGCCAAGCGTTTCTGTGAAGACAGTTTGTCCTGTAGACGCTTGTGTGTCCGATCCCAAAGCTGCTGCATTGTGGTAACGAAGTCGTGCGCGGGTTGGACAGTTGCAGGTACTGTCGGCTGTTGTGGAGTTAGTGGATGTCGTCCGTAACAGAGGAAAAATGGGGTCTCTCCTGTTGCGGCATGCTTCGCATTATTGTAGGCGAACTCCAACACCGGCAAGTGCAAGTCCCACTTGTTAATGTCGTCCTTGCATGCTGCGCGCAAGAGTTGTTCCACAATTTGGTTCAAGCGCTCTGTCTGCCCATCGGTCTGGGGATGATATGCATATGACATTGCTAGGCGTGTCCCCATGAGCGACATGAGCTCTTTCCAGAACTTGCTAGTAAACTTGGGGTCCCTGTCGGATATGAGGGTTGTTGGGATCCCGTGCTGTGAGATGATGTGTTTGAGGAATAGCTATGCCGTTTCCTCCGTGCGTGCGGTTGTATGTGTCGGAATGAAGTGTCCCATCTTTGAGAATTTGTCGATGACGACCAGGATGGCGTCATGCCCCGCGTTGGTAGGTGGTAAACCGGTGATGAAATCCAAGCTGATCACTTGCCAAGGCTGTTCCGGGACGGGTAAAGGCTGAAGAAGTCCTGCTTTCTTCTGCTTACTGCTTTTCATCCACTGGCACATGTCGCACGAAGTGACAAACATTTGCACGTCGTTTGCCATGTGAGGCCAGTAGTAGACTTTCGCAATCCCGGCAAGAGTCTTGTTACTCCCGAAGTGTCCAGCGTAGAGCACGTCATGGAATTCTTCGAGAAGCAACTGCCGAAGAGGCGGGTAGTTGGGTACCCATATCTTTGTTGATCCTTCGCGTAGTGCGACGTCGTGGTCCCACTGCAACAATTTCCTTTTCTCTGCTAAGGGAATCTCGGGGTCGATGGTATACCCGTGCGTGAAGAGTCCCTTGAGTAGCGGATTCATCCCCTCAATCTGTATGGCGGCAACGTGTCCAGGCCGGCTCAGTGCGTCTGCCTTATTCTTGTGTCCCGGCTTGTACACGATGTTGTAGTCGAAGTGCGTCTCGAGGAAGTCAATCCACCTGACTTGTCGTCTGGAGAGGGTCGGCTGCGTCTTTAGGTACTTCAGGCTGCAATGGTCAGTGTAGACCGTGGTCATTCTCCCTTCGAGGTAGCATCGCCATGTCTTGAATGCGGTGATGATCGCTAAGGCCTCTTTGTCGTGAATCAGGTAGTTGAGTTCTGCCCCGTGCAATTTCTTGCTGAGGTAAGCGATTGGTTGTAGTCCTTTCCCTTGGTCTTGCATCAAGACTGCTCCAACTGCTTGGTTGCTAGCGTCAGCTTCGATGACATAGTCTTTTTCTGGATCTGGCAGGATCAGGACGGGTGCGGACGTGAGTGCGGTCTTCAACTGCTCCATGGCTTGCTGGTGCACATCCTCCCACTTAAACGGTGTATTCTTCTTCAGTAGATTGGTGAGAGGTGTTGAAATCTTCGCATACTGTGGCACGAACCGATTATAGTAGTTCGCAAAGCCAAGGAATTGCTGAAGTTCCTTCACGTTCTCCGGTGTCTTCCACGTACGTACGGCTTCGATCTTCCTTGGGTCGACATGGACTCCTTGAGCGCTCACCATGTGTCCAAGGAACTGAACTTTCTTCAAGGCAAACTCGCTCTTGGATAGCTTAACGTAAAACTTCTCCCGTCGAAGTATCTCGAAGACGCGTCGTAGGTATTCGATGTGCTGCTTCATGTCCCTCGAGTAGATCAGGATGTCGTCCAGGTACACCACCACGCATTCGTCGAGTAGAGGCCTAAGAATATGGTTCATTTTGGCCTGGAATGTAGCGAGTGCGTTGGTGAGTCCGAACGGCATGACGAGGTACTCGTAGGATCCGTATCGTGTCCGAAACGCTGTCTTATGGATGGAGTTATCCGCCATCCGGATCTGCCAATATCCCGATCTCAAATCGAGTTTTGAGAATACTGTGGCTCCACGAAGCTGGTCAAGTAGATCGTCGATCCGTGGAATCGGATACTTGTTCTTGATCGTCTGCTTGTTGAGGGCTCGGTAGTCGATGCACATGCGTAAGCTTCCGTCAGGTTTTGGTGTGAAAAGCACTGGTGCACCGTAAGGTGATGTTGATGGTCGAATGAGTCCTTTGTCCAGAAGGTACTCGATCTGCTTCTTCATGTCGGCCAACTCGGTAGGGCTGAGTCGATATGGTGCTCGGAAGGTCGGTTTTGAACCAGGTTCTTCGATGATCTCGTGCTGGAAGGTTCGGTATGGCGGCAACTGGTCTGGAAGGTCGTCAGGGAGAACGTCTTCGAACTCTTCTAGAAGTTTCTGGATTGCTGGTGGAAGCTCGAGCGTTTTTCTCTCTCCTTCGTCCTCGTTGGTAACCAGTGCAACAAACCCTGCCATGGTTCGCTTCACGTCCTTCTCGAAGCGTGCGAGAGTCTCCTCCGGAATATCTCCCGTGTTGCTCCAATTCGGAAGAGGAACTCTTCTGTCTTGATTGTAAATACTCGCCGTGCGGGTGACCCAGTTGATCTCGGGGTTGAACTTCTTCAGAAAATCTCTCCCAAGAATCAAGTCTAGCCCTTTGATGTTGGTGACGGGTAGAGTCGGTTTCCAGCGAAGAGGACCCATCTGCAAGTGTAACGCTGCTTTGCCGTAGACTTGTAATTTGCTTCCGTCAACCATCGTAGCTGTGAAGTTTGAAGGCGTGTACTTCTCATTGATGCGTTCGAGGGTTGCTTTGTCGCATACTGAATGGGATGCTCCGCTGTCCACGAGTGCTTGGAGGCGTCGTCCATTGCAGATCACCTCGAGCAAAAGTGGTTGGCGTTGCTCGTTGTACCCGTTGATCGTCTCGTTGATTGGATCATAGGGCATTTCCCATAGCTCTGTGTTTTCTCCTGGGGTGGCAGATGGCCGGTCCTGCCGTTCCCTATTGCCATGATTTTTTGTTGTCGTCGACGACGTGGTTCTCGAGCTCGTAGTAGAATTCATAGATGGGGTAGATACCGTAGATGTTTCAGATGTTGCAGATGCATCTGTAGAGGAGGTT